ATTTTGGGTTGAAAATCGATTCTATCCCTATAACCAAATTCACAGCTTATCATTTCCATTTGAACGTCTATTTCAGATGTGGGAAACTTAATTCCACATGAACGAAATCGATCAAATAGCCATTTGGTAGAACAAATTATGTTTATTAAAAGAAACTGGGAATTTGTAAATAATCTACTTGAGAATCGAGTTTGGTTGAGAATCGATTCCTAGCCCTGGGTCATGCGATAATTTTAGTACCATAGACATGGCAAAAATGTAAGGCGCACGTGATTTTGATGTGATTCCGATCTGATCTGAAATAAGTCCATGAAAATATCCGATTGATATTAGATATCAAGTATTAGGGTTTGGGTTAGAGCTTGGTTTAAGGTTATATATAAATTGTCTTCCCGACATTTTTGATAGTGCACCAAACTAATTTAGATATATGTTTTTTGTATTTTTCGCATTTTTTGTATTTTTCATTTTCTTGTGCCGGATTTGTTTTTCCGAGTTGATCAAAAATTTGCTACATTCCTATTGGTTGCGCAGAATTTTGGCGCATGCTTATTGGTTGGATTGGTTCATCATTACATGACCCGTAACTTTTTTGCCGTGGCTAGGCTGATATTAATTAGTTTCAGTTAAGGGTAAGGTTAGAGTTATGCAAAAAGACGTTCGTAACAAAATTTCACAAGGAATATTTTTTGTTAGAGTAGAAAAGGTGAAATTTTTGAAATTTTGCGTTACGCATTGATCTTTGATTCGATTGAATGGGTCGTAATCATGTGCACCGTACATTTTTGGAATTTTAACCAAACCAAACTCGATTTTCCCTTCATGTGATTTTATGATCAGATTTTCCAATTACCCGGAACATTTCGCACTAAATCAAGGCTAGGATTAGATTAGAGTTGGTGTAAGGTTATGTCTTCCCCATCATTTTTTATTAATGATTAGGCGTAATCGACGATTTTACCTGTAACAATAGATTGGGTGAGTGATTAGACTGGGTGGTGTTCGTTTCTAATTCCTGTGCCGATATCTACGGATATCGTTCAGTATGACGGTAGAGAGGGGAGCTTGGATGGGCCAGTTTTTAGGTGAGATGGTTTTGTATTTAAGTTTTTATGTGTCAGGTTATTGATAATATTCTTTCTATTAACTTCCAATCGTTGCTTTTTCTAGCTAAAAGCCTTAAACTTTTCAATTATAAAGCGCTTTTTCAATCAATTAATCAAAATGCCGTTTAATAACATTAACGCCTTTTCTGAACTAAAGGATCTAACCACAATCAATTATAACAATTTTACAAGTCTAATTTACTTGGAGAAGAATAGTACGCAATTTAATTCTGTGTCTTTATTAGCATCTGCGAGGACTATATACTTTTTGGGTTACATTATGAAGTATTGTTTATGAACTTGTTGCATTGCACTCTATTATTTAAGAGAGAATTTAAGATTGAAAAAGAAATAGAAAACAAGAGCAATATCAAAAGCAAATATAAAAGCGAGATCAAAAGCGAAGTTAAGATAAAAACAAAAACGAAATTAGAATATAAAACAAAGCGAAATTAAACTAACGAAATCGGGCTAGACGGATTTTACCAAAATTGAATTCGGCATCTTCAAAAGGGATTCATTCAAATAATGTATTAGACAGTCGATATCTTTATTTCGCTAGACCATTCAGAAACATAAATTAGTTTGTATATCTACTACGTATAATGATGAGTATTCGAAACCTTAAATTCCATTTTGAGTTCACTTTGTAAAATGATTTTAGTGATTATTTGTTGTTTATTCAAACTTTGAAATGCTTGTAAACGTAAAATAATAATGATTATTTATATGTGTGGAAGTTGATTTCTATGTTAGCATTATCGTTTATCGCTATGTATGTAGAATACATAAAAGAAGCCTTTTATAACTTTTATTTGTACTGTCGTAGCTTTTCTAGCTAAAGGCCTTAAAATATTCAATAACAAAGTGCTTTTCAATCAATCAACAACATTACCTTTTCTGGATCAAGGTCCTATCCACAATCAATTACTGCCATTTACATTTGAAGTATTATTCTAGAATTTAACGCATAATACACACTATTGTTTAAGAGAAAATTTGAGAGAGAACTTAAATATAATTAAGGATCGAAAAAATTAGAAAACAAAAGAGAGACAAAAATGGAAATAAATATAATACAACACAGGATAGAATTTTGGAGCGAATAAAATATACTACATAACGAAATCGGGGTAACACTATCAATAAAGTTAGTGACGATACTTTTTGTGCAAATTATATGCATTATTTTTTGAATATTATATGCTTAGCTATAACTTTTAATAATGATCAAAAAGACTTCAGATATAACATTTACTAATAATATTGAATCATTACTAGAAAAGTTAATGATTAATTTTCGGAATTTGATTCTGAAAAAAATTGATGATGTATTCTAAAAATTTAAGAGCAATGTTTGAAAAACAAAGACTTTTCTTTTCTATAATAAACAATTTATAAATGTCTTTGATGTCAACAGTAGATTCACATTACTTTTGGGATTTTGTTATCACTATAGAATTAAAATTCAAAGAATTATCAATTTGCTTTTGAAATTATGAAAATTCAGCAAGGCAAGTCAACACATTAGCACAGTTTTGCTATGATAATGGTATCGGAACACAAAAGATGAAGGAAAAGCATTGAGTTGTATTTGAAATAAAAGTGTGCAAGGACAATTAAATCTTGATTACTGCTATCATAATGGTATCAGAACACAAAAGATGAAGGAAAGCATTCAAATGGTATTTAAAATCAGCAGAAAATAAGGATGTGAGAGGACAACTTAAGCTCGGAGATTGCTTCGAACGTGGTACTGAAATACAAAAAGATGAAAACAAAGCACTCTACTGGTATTTGAATTTGCTGAGAATAGAATATAATTTTAATTCCACAGTTTTTAATCTCATTTATGATACTGGATACAATGTATTAAAAAATCATTCATGTTTTTCCAAAATCAGACAAAATTTCAGCTTACAATCATCTTGCAAAGTGTTATTTTTACGGAACTGGAACAGTAGAGAATGAATACAAAGCATTTGAAATCTGCTGAATTAGGAAACAAGCACGGGCAATTTAAGTTGGCTGAATGTTATCAGAATCTTTCTCAATTCCAAATCTGTATTGATATGTTCTTAAAATGATATGAAAGAGCCTGAGAAAATGGTCACGATATAGCAGAGGCAGTAATAGAGACATTAACTTCGAGCACCAGTATTCTGTTTTGTAATAGATTATATCAATTTATGTTAGATAACGGTTGATTCGTTCAAATTTTAAGAAATATAAATGTATAAGTTATATTTGTTTGATTCAAAAGAAAAAAAAGTGGAGGTAGTACTAAGTAACCTTATAAAAAGTCAAGCACGTTATGACTTCTGTGTCAAAAAACTGCCCGTATCATGGTTATGCTTAGGAATTTGTCGTGTTTTCCGTGCTTTCATGTTATTCCTTGTGATTCTGTGAATTTTATTTGCTTTCCTTTTTATATGGCAGATAGTGCTCGTCAGAAATAATAACTTTCCATAGATCATATGTAATGTCCAAAATTTTCCAAGCACAAGGAGCGCTGATAAACTTTTAAATTGGATATTCTATACATAAATAATGTCACTCCCAATTCACAAACAATACGAAATCACACATCCCAAAGGTCGGAAGCTTGGACAGCTAAATATGTCCACTGTAGTAAGCCCACAGGGTTCCAAAAATGGCAGGAAACAAAGAACCTAGCTGATCAACTGAAATCCGGCAGAAATCGATCCACAACTCTGAAATAAGACGAAAAGCTTATAGAGCTTGCACAGAAGCAAACTAATCCAGCTGCCGCTGATATACAACTGGAAATGGAAAAACGAAACATCAATGTTAGTTTGAAAACTATCTAACGACGTTTATACGAAGACGAAGGCAAATGTCTATAAAGAACACGGTTAAAACGAGCAAAAAAATATAAAGATTTTGACTGGATTAAGGTTATATTTTCAGACAAAACACATTTCGTCTAAAACAGTCGTTATTTAAGGTCTGCCAGTTTCCTGGACGAAGAAAAATATTCCGGTCTGTTATCCATTAAACATCAATGTGTGGGGTTGTTTTTCTGCTTCGGGCTTTGGTAAGTTAGTCTACTTCCAGCAGAATCTCAATGTCAAATTTACGGTATACAAACGCGGTCTTCTCCCATCCGTTGAGTATCTTTTGGAGACGATTCTAAAGTGGATTTTGCAAAAGGGTAACGACCCTAACATCGTTCGAAATTGGCGAGTCGTTGGAGTAAAACAACATCGGAGTTCTTTCATGACTGCCACCCAAAATCCGATTGAGAATGTTTGGAAGTTAATGAAAATTAAATTTCAAAAAAAAATCAGAACTCTTACTGGATTAAAGGTACATTTAGCAACAAAATGGAATCGCTTACCTGACCAGATGATCTTGCTGCGAATCTTGTCCATGAGAAGTCGGGTTGCGACGTTAATTGAAGCTGAGGGATTATACATTCCAATAAAAACCCCGGTTTTATATTACCCTTTAGCCGATTTATGGGAGTATGTTACTTCTGACGAGCACTGTAAGGTATCAAGTTTTGGGGATGGACGCAATTTAGCTATCTAATATCTCTAGCGTCAAATAAGTATAATAGTATTGACAAAGCGAATTCAGTAATTAATATTGGCGATAGTAATTGATAGTCAAAACGAGAGCATTTTTACCTCATCATGAAATCAACCCACAATTTTTGTTACCAATTAGTGAGGCTATAGGTGAAAATTCCTGTTGCAACTTAAAATTTCAACAATGAAAGTTATTCTTTCAACTTCAACTTTGCGAGAATTATCATGATTTATTGATGATCTGATGTACATGTATATCATAACGATTACATACAACAACAAAACTAAACTATATAAATGTACGATTTTTTGTGGGGATCTGACACAGCAAAATTTTCAAATGGACCGAGACGAAATTTCGCTCGTAAAAATTGCAACAATTCAACAAAGTAATGCTAATAATGAGAAAAATAATAAAGATAAACAACAAAAGGAAATGGAACGACAAATACTTCGTAAAATGGATTTTCGGTTGATTCCGTTACTTGCACTTTTATATTTGATGAGCTTTTTGGATCGGTGAGGAAATTTTAGTAGTTTCTTTATTCATGCTAATCAAATAATCAATGTAATTTTAATAGAGTTAATATTGGGAATGCAAAGTTAGCCAATTTGGAAGCTGACCTTGGTCTACATGGAGCTCAATATAATTGGGCATTGAGTATTTTCTTCTTGTATGTCTTATGAATTGATGTTTTGTGATTGTTTTAACTTTATCTTATTTTACTTATGGGAAAATAACAGTGGATATATTTCTATCGAGGTACCAAATATAATGTCAGAGTTGTTGACAAATGAAAATAATATGAAACATTATTGTACTTTCTTAGATCCCTTCAAATATAATTCTAATGAAGACGAAACCTTCATTATGGAGTAAGAATTTATTCGCATTTATTTAACTAAACCAATAAATAATCGTTTTTCAAACTCACATTACAGTACCTTTTATAATGTTCTTATGGGGTGGAATCACCGCGTTAATGAGTTTAGTAAGTTATGATTTTTTTGTCTCGCGTTTTATCTCTTTTAAGATATGATTAAAATACAAAGTTATAAATTCTAAGGTGAAAAATTTCACTGAATTGATGGTCACCCGATTTTTTCTTGGACTCGCAGAAGGTGGTCTGTTTCCCGGCGTTGTGTTCTATCTAACATTATGGTATAGACGCTCAGAACAAAACTTTCGTATTAGTTTGTTTTTTGCGGCGTCTGGCGCTGCTGGGGCATTTGGAGGATTAATTGCATATGCGATTATGAAAATGCATGGAGTTGGAGGATTAGCAGGATGGCAATGGGTAAGAGTAACTATCATACTATTAGAAAAATAATATATATTTTTAATTGATATAAGTTCCTTGCCGTGCTACAAGATTTTCATTCTTGAGGGTTTGTCGACTATTGTGATTGCATTTGCTGCTTTTTTCTGGATTACGGATTACGCAAGAAGTGCTCGATGGCTGACACAAGAAGAACGCGAATTCGCGGAAAAAAGATTAAAAGAAGATGCTGGAGTAGCATATATTCCGCATTTTGATAAGCGACATTTAAAGGCTGCTTTTCAAGATTGGGTAAATGACAGAAAAATCTTTTCGATCTAACCTATAATTCATCTTTAGCTTTTTGACTTTGCAATTTCATTACATTAAAATTAACATCACACAGAAAATTTATCTCGCGATGGTCATGTCTGTAAACACTGGGATGGAAGCATATTCATTCACATTATTCTTGCCTGTTATTATTAAAGGGCTTGGATTTGAGCGAGGTACTTGGAAATATATAATTTTATTGGAGTTTCTATTAAAGAATGAAGTATCAATGTTATTTGCTTTTCGAATATTAATAGCTTTGTCCCAGCTGCTTACAGTCCCTCCGTATGTTCTGGCAGCTATTGTAACAGTCTTTGTAGCAGTACATTCAGATAAAACCGGATATCGCGGGCCTTATATTGTTGTTTCCGCAGCAGTTGGCATCATAGGATATATAATGATGATTTTTCTGAAATCAGTTACAGGTTTGTAAGTTTTTTCTTCGATTCGTTTTTTATTTCTAACGACAGATATTTAAAGATCATATTTGTTTTAATTAAAAGGAAAATATATCGCCTCAATGATAATAGCTATGGGGCTATTTCCATGCATTGGGACAGGAATAACATGGATCACCAACAATCTAGCAGGGGACGCAAAACGAGCGATCGGCGCCGCTTTATTAACCATGTCTGCTAATATCGGTGGAATTTTTGCTGGTCAGATATATCGTGCGAATGATGCACCGCACTATACGATGGGTCATACTATTTCCGGGGTCTCGTTGTTGGGTGTATTGATTACGGCTGTGATTTTTGAGGTGTTATTGAAGCGTGTAAATCGATTAAAGGTTCATGATCCAGAAAGGTTTACTAGAAATTTGAGTGAAGACGAGATCAAGAATCTGGGAGATTGGCATCCTGGGTTTTATTATACTTTATAGCTTTGTAAATATTAATGAAAATTAAAAATATACATGATTGATTTTTAATCTTTTAATCTACATGTAATTAAGAATATCCGGGTGGTGGCTGCATGTAACTACTAACAGGATACTGGACAATCTGCGGTTGTACATAATGATACGCTATTCGAGGAGTATATTCAGGTAAAGGAGACGACGGTTCCTCTTGTTCCTGTTGAGTTAAAGGAAGTTTTGTCTCTCCTCTTTCCTCCTGATTTTTTCGATCTATTGCTCGATGGTGTACTTTTAATAAAAGGAAAAGTATGAACGCAACACATAAAACTCCTCCTATTATAATTCCAATTATAGTTTTAGTATTGTCATTCCTCTCATCATGTTGGTCACTAGTATTCGTATCACTGTCCTTTGTTTCGTTTTTCGCTGGATTCCCGGTTGGATTATCTGAAGGTGGAACAAATGGTAATGGACGATTGCCTGAGGATGACATCCATTGTACGCTGACATCATTTGTAGCATTGAGAATGAGGATCAGTGGGTACCTAGGGTTATTGTAAGTGTTGTTTGATTGTAGTTTCGAAAGTGCATCCGGTGGTAATTTACCTGATTTTTGTGATAATAATTATTATGAAGAATACAATACTCAATTCTTATGTTATTTGACCTTACCAAACGTGACAATCATATAATTTCCATACGTTGTAGCAGAATGCCAATACGGTATCGACAAATTCTGTAAATACGGATCTTGAAAAGTGATTGATGGAATTGACCAAATAAATGTCTTAAAGTCTGAAGTACTCAAAATTGCAATTGCATTGTTGCTTGTGATCTCCGCAGAACTGGTGTTGTAACCGCCGTATACGAGAATTTTGTTCGGTCCGTTGTTTACTTTATTTGTACATAACGATAAGTTTAGATGAAATTTACTTGTGGATTTTAAATTGAATTTTTGAATTTTAGGTTACGTTTTACTGCGGTGTGTCCAGCGCGACTCGGCACATTTTGTGAATTGGTTGCGGACTTTTTAAAGGACAAATTCGAAGTTAGTCTTTCTTATCTTTAGAGATGTTGATAAAATTGTCAGAAAATATACTTACAGCTAGCGTCCATTGTGAATTACTTGTATCAAATATCCATATCTATACACATTAGCAATGACGAGATTTAATCCAACATCCATAATGCAAAAGTCACAAGCAAATAATAAATAGTATACTATACTTCATTCATTCTAATAAAAGAACCAACACCAGTTTTACCACCCACGTACACAATATAAACATCCAACAAAGTAGCCGAATAATCGTATCGATTCGGGGGAAGAAGCTGTGGATTTGGCAAAACTGACTTCCAGATCATGGAACCGGTATTCAAAATATACATATTGTTATCGACAATCGCGGTCAAGTTTTGAGAATCTTCTGAATCGGTAGATCCGCCGAAAATGTATAATCTGTTGCTAGTGTCGAGTACCATGGATATTCCGCGCCTTGGTAGTGGTTCATTCGTATCAAAGTCTGAAGTTTTTAAGGTCTTCCACTGATATCCCGCCACATTTAGCGCGTAAATATCGTGACTTAACTCAAAATTTTGCTTGAAAGTTGAAGTTTACTAAATTAATCGATTGAATAAAGTTCGTATTTTAAATATTCAAAAATCGGAATAAAAAGATACCATTTCATCAAACTTTACGCCACCATACAGAAACAAGTGTGTCTTATTAGCAGCCGAAGCCGCCCAAGCTAATGACGGAATGACTTTCCCGGATATCGTTAAATTTTCGAAACTCGCCGACTCTATTGCTAAACTTGAAGCTAGTTCCAAAGAAAGTACATCGCTAGTGATAGTGTCTTGTTCAGTTTTACCGCCAATACAATAAATTTTGTTTCTTGAAGATATGTAGTTTGCTGTGTGTCCATATCTCGTTGATACTTTATTGATTTGTGAATGAACTTTATTGAATAAAAGCAAGAAAAGAATAAAATATAAAAATGATGAAGAATGTTTCTTGAAAAATAAATACATTATATCAATAAATAACGATAAAGTTTTAAGAAGTCAACGTACATGTTTTCTAAATATAAACCTTAACGTTAGTTCATATTGTGTTTTCTGCACGACGCAAATAATTTTATCAGTAGACAATATCGAAGCTATATATAGCTTAAATGAGTCTTCAATTAGCAATGTATATCACACACGATCACACATGAATTACATGAACATGTATTTTCAACATCGTGATTACGCATAAAGACGATAAAGGTTTTTTTACTACGTACATGTATCGTTATGTTTCCAAAGTGAATAATCTTTTGAGTTACATTATGTCTTCATACATATACATGTATATTGTATTCAAAACACAACGATATAAATAAAATAAAAAAACTATACAGTACACTATTTCAAATATTTATGAGAAAGAAATCGGTGAATAAATTTTATACGAAGCATAAACTCGTTTTTTTTTGATACAGAGTGCGCATCACTGAATTACTTTAACAAGAGCATGTCGGTTATTTTCTCAATCATGTTGTGCCAGTCTTCGTTTATATTTAATAAAACTATCGCTATGTTATGTACGTATTATGTGGTTCGTTATTTTTTCTATTATTGTTATCGTTGATTTTTATTTGTACATGTACATGTACGTACATGTATATCATTAGATGTTCACCTGATGATTGAACTCATTGCATAATGAAAGTAACATTACACTTGATGATTGTAAAAGTAACATAATTATTGGTGGAAATTAGTCTTAGCGTCAATGAATTTACTGTTACCGGATTAAGAATAATTTCGCTAATCTCTCAATTTTGGTAAATCCGCCTAACCGATTTCGTTGGTTTAATTTCGCTTTGAAATTCTATTTTTATTTCGCTTTTGTTTTATATTTTTATTTCGCTTTTG